ACCAATAATAATTTACTCAAAAGTTTTCCAAATATTATATATAATTTAATCGGAAAAACTTATGTTACATAAATTATATCACAATTAAATTATGATACGTGATAAATAATACTGAACGGATGCGACGCGGGCGCGTCCCGTATTATATCCTGTTTCGTTTCGCAAACGCTACGTGTCATTGCACCTCTAAAAATAAGCATGCCTGTCAATCTCGCGTGCAATTCCATTTGGCTTATTATTTCAACGACAAAATATATTTTTATATATTTTTTTTACTTCGCGTGCATATACGTACATCGTAATTAATGCGTACACACATACAGGCACACTCATGCACAGACACGCGAATGTGTTCAGCGGTAGCAGGCGAGGTGCGAAATGTGTTATCGCGATGCCGCTACTTTGTTACCGTGTATTTTACTTTTTATTGTTATTACTAATCGTAAATTTTCATAAGATGTTCATCTCTCCTGCTGCGCTCTTTTTTTATCCCGATATTGCATTTATTGCATGTTAAAATTCGGTCGTACAAAAATAGACAAATTGATAGGAATTGATAGGAATGCATTCTGCAAAAAACTCACCATTTCTTTTAAACCACGAAACCTTCCAGATTTAAGAGATCGCGTAAGGTTACTGGAAAAAACTGTGATAAGTAATATTTTTTAATATTTAATAATTTTAAGAAATTTAAATAATAAATGAACTAATCGTAGAAGGGATTCCTTAATCGATTCCTCTTAATTTGTCTATGCAAAAAAATATCCGGAAATTCTCTATCTGAACAGCCAAGTCGACACAGCCGATGAATCGCGAATGAGAATCGCGCGATAAGCGTGATATCAGCGCAACATGAGAGGCGTCGGTGATCAATTCTTTTTTTCTTTTATGCGCGTAGATAAAGAGGCCGTGGTATCTTTTTTTATGTTTTCTCCTAGTTTTTCTTTTCTTCGCAGAGATATGTATACTACTGAAATGTCGCCCTCGCGCATCTGGCAGTTATCACCGTTACGCTACGTTAATTAATCTGGCTACATTACGGACCGTTCGCAGCCGAAGATACCATTCGAGGGGTCGATTAAAATCTAAAATCTCTTCATTAGCAGCGAAAATTTGAAGTTATCTACGAGAAGTTAGCTGAATGTCGTTCTTTGTCCTTCAGAACGATTATCAAAAAGGCCCTCGTGAATGCAAGTGCGCGAGAAATCGAGATTTTTTAATCTCACGTTGAGAAGCCGATCTCGAGATCCCGAGAAATACAGGGGGGGGGGGGCGACGCATTGGATTCGTTGTATAATTCGAGTAGCTAGCTGCTTTGAAACAAGTGGAGGAAAAATTCAATATTCATTTGCTTGGGTGCGAAGTTTCCTTCGTTGGCGTAAAGATTGATGTGCTTTAATTAATTGTCTGGCGCTATTTAATTAGGCCGAAAGCCGATATAATTGTTGATAGACTTAGGTCCGTATTCATATGCCATAGATCGATCCACGATTAATTCTCATTTCAGGCGGGCTAGATTTGTGCTAAAGATTGAACTAATCAGATTTATTAAATCGTTGTTTGAGAAGCGTTCTTCAGTCTTTCTGATGAAAGACTGATTCTCAGCTCAAATTAGATCTCAAATTGAATCGCGACTATGAATATGACCTTTAAAGTCAGAACAACGACTTTTCCCCAGCGAACGATACAGCCATTCTTTCGCAATCCATTATTTCATACTTATCCGTCACAATCCATCACACTTATTACTCTAACTCATTTTAAAATCACTACGTTGCATCTAAGGCTACTTATCACTTTTAATTGAAGTATCTCTAATTATTCCAAACTCATCAATCCAAATCTTAAGTATTTTTGCTGTATCGAACCCTTATCTGAAGATCAGATGATCCATCCAACAAAGAAGATTTTTTCGTCATCTCGCAATCTTCTTATCGGGAAAATTGTAGCTAGTAGGGAAATTGACAACAACGGTCGACTGGCGTTTGATCGATCAATATAACGGAATGAGGAGTAAATCCAAGGTATACGAACGGTCCGTGCGGCGCGACGACGGGCCGGGGATGGAATCTCAGATTTTTAGGGTTTACGATTTGAAGAACAACTAGGCAGAATTAGGCTGTTGAGAGGGAGATACGAGACGGCACGATCGGGCACGATAGGAGCAGACTCGATGTCGCCAATACGGCAGTCAGAAGGGATGCCAGTGGCAGTAGGGACGGCGTGTGGAAACTCTCGACGGAGTTACACAGATCACTGGTACACGAGCAATATATAGCGCGCACATCGTGGGTGCCGGTCCTCATAAGGCACTCGCCATTGTCCTTCTCGGCGTCCGTGATGTAACCGCAGCTGCGAACGACCCTCTCTTTACCGTACACTGCAACAGTTACGGGAACGATGTTGAAATCTCTGTTTTTAAATTACTTTCGCTGCTTAGAATCTAGAATTATTTAAATGAAATTTAAATCTAAAATAGATATGATCTTTGAACCGGGAATAGTCACCTGTGGAATGATTTTTATATTCCAACAGCGAACAAATGCTCAGTCACGATAATTTCTTTTGATCCGAAAATCTATATGTATTTTTTTTAACTTCATCCACTGATTTCTGTAAAAGCTTCTTTCATCAATTTCTAGTTAAATTAATCGACGATCAACTCGCAAACAACAACAGTTTAATGTATCACAACAAATCTCCTTTCTTTTCCTCTTCTGAGACAAATTATGTTTAATTCTCACATTGATAATCGAAATGATGATTGAGTTAGCCATCGATTAATCGGAGTTGATGAAAGAGATCCTAAAAGTGATTTCACTTTACTTTTTAAGAAAATAAATATTGAATCTATTCAAATAACACTCAATTGTCGCAATAAGATCGAGATACATACGTCACTTTGATTGAAACTTGATGAAAGTTTCATTGAATTTTATGTCAATTTAACATCACTGTGACATTGCGTGTTACTTGGATATGTATAATAATCTTAGAGTTCTCAAATACTACATATATTGTGTATTATTGATTATTTTTGATTATTTTACAAATAAAATTGTAGGGCAATCAATATAATATATAATATATAATATGTCATTAATAATAATGACTTTTAAGTGAAGTTATAAAAATCATCTCAGATAATAGTTTATGTTGAAAAATTAGAAAATCATTCTTGAGTTAAACGCGCGGTTATTCATGTTTCGAACTTCATTGATGGCTCAATGGATTCTTTGATTAATTCAGAATCGATAGCTTTCGAATGAAAATGCTCATAAATAATTCAATTCCTCATAATTAATCCAATCGCATTAATGCCTTTATCATAACGTTGCCCATTGAAATGACATTATTGCAATAGTATCGCATTATTTATAAAATGTATATGAGATATAGGATGATATTTGTGAGTTGCGGAAAGCATGCCTAACTTGTATAATTGATATAAACGATGTTTAATAAATAATAATTTTTTTAATATGCAGTAAATCATTACAGCTGTTATTTAAGAAATGATAATAATAAATGTGAAGTTAAATTAAAGTGAAAATTGATAAATAATGATTATTTTAAATAAATATAAAGCTTTCAGAATTTCTGTTAGGTGAAGTTTAACTTGCGTTTGTAGAAGCAAATAGAGACTTCACCTTTTTGACTGATTTTTCGGCAAAGGGTAGGCTCCAAGTGACTGAGATGCTCCAGACGAGGTTGAAAGCTGCAGTTTACAGTCCCCAAAGTGTACGAATCGAATGGATCGCCACATCTGGGATCGTACTCGCTGTTGCATTGGTAACATATTATCGCTTCACCTGAAATAACAAAAAAAAAATCGATCATCATGCATTTGCATTTGCAGTCGGATTTGCCAAAAATTATTATAAGATCGAATAAAATTGTTTCTCTCCTAAATCTCGAAATAGCTAGATATTTCTAAGATTTTCTGTGATATTTTTGCGATTTAAACAGTGGCAATTGATCTTATACATTTATACGAGAGATTACGATGAACATTTCGTGCAACCGGTTAAAATTCTTTCTTTTCCTTTGTATTTTATGAATATTTTAGTGGCTCGTATTTTAGAGAAACTTGTGATTTCTCGACAAATTCAACTAACGTTACCCGCGATGAGGATTAATCGGGAAAAGGTCTGATTCACGTTTTGCCTTTCTGTGACGTAATAACGCGCGCTCGATAGGAATCTCACGGAAATCAGGCTGATACGGCGCCAGCTGATATCGAACAGTCAGCCGAGACACGCGAAGACCTTCACTCAGCTGTCTCGTAGTTCGATACGAAGAAACCGAATTTTTTTCTGCCGGATATAAAATTAGACGATTGCACTCCCATAGAAAAGATTTCCAGATCCTATGCTATATTATTCTTCAATCTATCATCGAATACAAAAAAAATATATATATATAT